CCGCGTACGCCGGCAGCTGAGCCGAAGGAGGCGACGGCGTGGTGGAAGGTGGCGGCGTCGGACTCGTCGGCGAAGGAGAGGCCGATGACGGCGTCGTTGCCCTCGAAGGTGTGGAAGAAGGGCGTCGCGGATTGGTACTCGAAGCGATCGTACAGCTCCTGCTCCCAGGTCACCTGCCCGCTCTGGAGATCGACCAGGCGGATGTAATGCGCGCCCGCATCGCCTGAAGAAGAAAGAGATGGAATTCATTAATTCATTCGCATTCGTCCATCACGTGATGACCATTAGCTCTTCATCTTCGATTGATGTTTTAAAACAAATTGATGGCAGGGTACGCGTACCATCGACGGCCACGAGCGCGGCAGCGCCCCAGAGGTGGGAGTAGGCCCAGGTGTTGCCCTGGGACATGTACAGACGGGCCACGGCCGTGCTCTTCACCTGGCCTCCCGCCGACGAGTACACCATCTGCGACTCTCCCTCGTTTAGAGTGTTGCCGCCCATCTTTTACTACAACTACTGTTTCGGTGCGTAGGTTGCTTGGGCTTGCCTTTGGTCTACGCGAAGAAGATTGATTGAGCGCAAGGGGCGAACAGATATTAATTGATATTCAGTCGACAATCGACTTTGTGCGGACAAAAAGAAGCAGAGATGAGGGGAGGGTGTGAATTACAAAGAGAGTCTTGCGGATGAGGTTAGGAGTTGTCGGTGGGTCGCTTGTTGACATCGGGCTGAGCGCTATTGGTGGCCGCCTCCAGTTTCTCTCGCATGGCCCTGTCCAGCGCCTCCTCCTCTTCTGAGCGCGGGACCGGCACCGTCTTCCAGGTCTCCAAATCGATCTTGTTCTTCATGCTCTGCACGCACATGCACGCATGCCATGCCCAACCGAGGCAGGCAGCGAACATCCAGCGAGAGAGTGCAGAAGGAACAGAGAGATGGGATATTTTTTGTGAGTGGAGCAGGAGGAAAGATGGGGTTGGGGGGGGGGGAGCAGGACAGGGAGGGCACCTCGTAGGCGGCCTCGAGGTCGAAGGGCTCTTCCTGCTGTTTGCGCCACTGGTCCTGCTGCTGCCGCCGGAGCTCCTCGTACTCCTGCTCGGAGCAGCTGCTGCTGCGCTTGTCGGCCACCTCGTTGCGGCCCTTCACGAACCGCGCCAGGCCCACCGAGCCCACCACCATGAACGCCAGTGCCGGCGCCCCATACCTGAGGAACACCTGCTCCCCCGCCTTCTTCCTCCGGCCGTGCTGCATGCTGCCACTTTGTTTATTTGTTCATTTGTTTTTTTTAAAAATACAATAATTAAATATTGTGGTGTGAGAGGAGAAGACAAGCGAGCGAGCGAACGAACAGCAGCCTGACGGATACGGCCATACTGCGCAGAAAGCACCGCTTCCCATCCGAACAGCGAAGTTAAGCTGCGCCAGGCGGTGTTAGTACTGGGGTGGGCGACCACCCGGGAATCCACCGTGCCGTATCCTTTTTACTGTCGCTCACCATCGAGGTTTCCTTTTGGCTTCTTTCACTCTCGCCACCAGGAATGATCACGTCTCTTCCTCTCCATCTCCTTTTTGATTCCTGCTTCTCACAACACCAAGAGGCGCCGTATCCTCCTTTGGTTTGCTCAAACCGAAAGTGCATAGGTTCATATCATCGGCTAACACGCGGCACCGCACACCAGGTCTCGTGATGTGCACGGGGGGGGGTCACCAGAAGGCCTGCTTCATTACGGACAACACGGGGTCGCTCACCGGGTTGGGCAGCATCTTCTCCGCCACCAGATAGCGCAGCGGGTACTCGACCAGGTGCCCGCGCACCTGTCCCAATCGCTCCCTGCGCACTCAATCGCGTTAGAGCTTGCGCAGTACTGGACGGGGGTAGTGATGGTTGGTCGGGTGGTGGTGCGAGTACCTGATGGCATCGAGCTTCTGTTGGTTCCATGTCGTCTTCTCCTCATCGAAGGCCTTCTTGAGCGCGAAGCTCTCGGTGAGCGTGGCAATCGAGTTCTGGGGGATGTACGGGAAGACCTCTTCGTAGATGCGCGTGTTGGCCTCGGCCACGTGATCCCACAGCTGCACGGCTTCGTCGGACAGCGGGTCGCAGAGGATCTCGACCAACTGCGCCGTATTCTTCTCCGCCTTGCGCTCGCGCTCCTCGCCGTCGAGCTCCGACTCGGACGAAGAGTGCTTGCTCTTGTTGCGCTTCATGAGCTTGCGCTCCTGCTTCTCGCGCTCCTTCCTCTCCTTCTTGATGAGCTTCTGCTCCCGCTCGCGCGCGGCCTTGGCCTCCTTCCGCATCTTTTCCCTCGCCTTTTCAGCTCTTCTCTTGTCTTCCTTGCGCGACAGGTGAGCCGCGGCACCACCCTCCTCCTGGAACCGCGGCTCGTCGGCGCTACGCCTCTCCTTCTTCTCCTTCGCTGTCGTGGACGCTCTGCTTTCGCTTTCGGTGTCGGTGTCGCTCGCCCGTCGTACGCTTCGATCGCCGACAGAGCGTTCGCTTTCGCTCTCACTTTCGCTCTCCCGTCTGCTGTGGCTCGCGCGGCTGCTGCTCCGGCTGTCGGTCCTCTTCACCTTCTGCTCCATCTTTTCCTTCTTCTTTTTCTTCTTCTCCTCCTTCGCCGCCGCCGAGATGGGGAACTTCATGCTGGTCCACTGCTTGAGCTTGTCGATGGCCCGCCTCTCCTGCCTTACGCGCTCCTCGGGGCCGTGCTGGTGCTTGGAGCCGACGGCCCGGTGTCGCTCGTCCTTGAGCTCGACCTCCTTGATGTCCTCCTGCAGCCCGAGGTGCTCGCGCCACAGGTTCATGCGGAGAGAATGTACGAACTTGCCCACCCGGAAGTCCTGGCCCGCCATCATGCCATTGACCGTGTCCGTGTCCTCCACCCACACGGCCAGCTCGCTGTCCCTATCGCCCTCCATGCTGTGTCGATGGGTCATAACGTAAGTACTGTTGTCAAGCCGCTGAATGAAGAGACAGCATACCTTCTGTCGTTGATGTTCGCTGAACCGATGATGGCCTCGCAGTCATCGATGATCATCAACTTGGCATGGACGTAGACCTGGTTGGTGACAGGGCAGCCCAGAATGTACCCGTAATTGCGCAGCGCATTCACGCGGAAGTACTTGCGGATCTCCGCTTCGCCCACTGCGAGTAATCCACTGGTTCAGCATCGCACAAGTACCGCACACACACGACACACACAGTGATTTATACCTCCGAGCTGCTTGTGCAAGGCCGCGAAAATGGATCGCTTCCCTTCCCTGATAGTCTTGTATTGCCTGTGGCGGTGGTGATGATGATGTGAGCGCACGTGAGAAATGGGAAGAGAGACGAAGGAATGGTATGCCGGCGTACAGTTTGGTGATGATTCGGGTTTTGAGGTCCTCCGCAGGAGCCATGGACGGCGTGATGGGAATGACGACCGTCACCAAGAATCGCTCCTTGTTCCGCATCGCCCGGGCGAGGCGCGCCACCAGCGCTGCACTGATTTGGTTACACGGACCCTGTCGAAGAGCAATGCGGGTGAGGTTGGCTCGCGCACGAACTAGTCAAGATTGACTGTCGACAGAGCTAATGGCCAAGGTGAAGGGGCAGCGTACGTGATTGTCGACAGTGGAGATAAAGTACTGGTTCTCGATGTAGATGAAATGCTTCGCTCTCTGGATCATGCTCACGTAGGCTTCCTGGATGGACTGCTCGAGTCGATTGCCGCCTAGAACCAAAGAAAGAAAGCCGAGAGGAACGATCAGGTTTCGCCCTGTACAGGGCGGACACATGACGACGACGACGACGATGACGATCGGCGTACCGCTCCATTTGCCGATGGACCTGATGAGCTGGCAGCGGCACTTGACCGCCTCGGGTGAGGTCTGTGTGTTGCACGGATAACATCAGCGTGGTGCGCTTTTTGAGTATCCGCGCGCCAGTGAGCGAGAGAGGGGGAGCCTGTGAACTTACCTGTGGGTACGGGAGTGGCGGCGTCTGATGCAGCGCATTGTGTATCCGCATGGGGAGTGCCTTGGTCAGGGCGAAGCTCCACAGGTCCAGAGCCCTGATTGTTGCCGCACATCGCTGCCATCAGCAAATGCAACGGGTCCAAGCACTGACCCACAACGTCGTCACGCGACACGATTCGGAGCGAAAGAGAGGTACCTGGCGCTTTGGCTCGCACGCTTGGCGCCCCATTTCCTGCGTAGGCTGGCCCACTTGTCCTTCTCCGTCTCCTCCCACAGCCGCATCTTGGTCTGCTGTCGGCCGAGCAGGCCATGGAGCCGCCTCGGTCTGTCCGAACTCGCCACGCTCGCGGTCTCGGCTGCGTCTGTGGCCGTGGAGGCCCCTACGGCGTCGGTCGGCGCCTCAGAGTGATGGCCCCGGTGGTGATGCCCGTCGCGAGTCGGCTCGACGTCCGATTCCGCGGCTGTGTGGCTGTGGTGACCCTCCACGCTGTGGTGCCTGTCGAGCTTCTCCTTACCCTTGCGCTCCTTCTTCTGCATCTTCTCCTCCCTTTTCTTCTCCTTCTTCATCTTCCTTTCTTCGGCGTGGCTGAGTGCGGCGCTCTGCTGGTCGCCATGACCACTCTGGCCGGTGGTAGTGTCGTCATCGGCGCCGTGCTCTTCGTCATTGACCTTCTCCTTGCCCTTTTCCTGGGCGGCATGGCCGGCGCTGTCGTGGGCTTCCAGATGCTCGGCGCCTTCCACTTCGTCTTCCAATTTGTCGGGATTGCTCTCCTGCGACGAGGTGAGCGACGAGCCCGTGCCCTTCTCGCTGCGCTCCTTCTCGATGACCTTCTCGTGCTGCTGTTCGGCCTCGCTCGGCTCCACCTCTGTACTGATCCGCTTCTCCCGCTTTCGATGCAGGGCGCTCTTGTGCTTTTCCTCCTCGTGCGTCTCGTGAATGATCGCGTCCATCATCTCCATCCGGTTGCGCTTGATGTGCTCCTTCTCCCTGCGCTCCTCGATCTTGGCCTTGGTCCTGAACTTGCGGAACGGCAGGCCGCCCACTTTCCGCACACCCTTGAGGAACCGAAGGACTGCGCGCACGACGCGGTTATGGAGGCGCCTCCGCAGCATCCGCAGGCGGCCGTGGGCTTTGCGCCGTGCCGCGCGCTGCTGCCTGCGGCTGTGCCAGTGCTTCTGCAGCTTCTGGACGATCCCGTTGTGGCGCCCGTGCTTGTTCATCATCTTGGCCGCCGCCTCGAACTCGGCCTTGCGCTCCTGTGGGAGCGGGCGCAGACTCTTCTTGTTGGCCAGCCGGTACTGCAAGTCGGGGTCGACCTCCACCTCCCGTCGAAAGGGGTTGCGCAGGGGCTCGAGCACCGGCAGCCCATCTTCCCTGCTCTTCGGTGATCAGTAGGGCACCAACAGTGCCGGCGTGGCTGAGTGCGGCGCTCTGCTGGTCGCCATGGCCACTGCTGGTGGGACGTACCGAGCTTGGGGGATTTGCATCAAGTGGTGGTTCCACCGATGCACAAAATTGTAAGCAACATCAATCGCCGCTTCGCCGTCTACCGAGCGAAAGCGATCTCGTTAACGAGTGCGAGGAGTTGATGGAAGAAGATGGAAGGAAGAGAGGCTACGCTCGTACCCACGGACATGTGGATGTCGTGCCAGGCCATGCGAGGTTCGTGGTCACGGTCCAGAATATCGGTGTAGGGATCCTTGAAGCTGGGCTCCTGTTGTAGTTGGACACAAGAAGCAAGCATCGCCTGTCAGCGTTCTCCCCTTGGGGGCCACCACCTGCGGCTTGATGGTTGGTGTACCTCCTGGTTCCAGTAGTCCTTGCCCGGCCAGAACTGGGCCAGGCGGTTGTAGTCGGTGATGCTGTGATCGCTCGTGTCCCATCTGCCCCACGTGAGGTCGATGCCGCCCACGAAAGCCTGCAGCACAGGGTGCGTGTGAGTCATGCCAAGCTTGAAGTGGCCGAAGTGGGTCCAACTTACGAAAATGTCCTTTGAACCATAGTCGATCACCAGACTCTTCTGGTGATGCGTGTATGAGCTGGTGGGTATGTGCTTAAAGTAGGGATGTCGCATGATCTGTGTATGGCGGACAGGAAGGTTAGGAGGCCAACAAGCATCGCCATTCAGGTGACAATCGGGATCACCTTGATGTTGTCGTGCAGCTGGCAGAGGAGCTTCTGCACTTCGCGTGAGCCGTTTTCGGTGAACAGCGCCGGGTCTCGCCACAAGAGGATGTAGATCTTGACCTGGGTGAGGGGATTCAAAAGGTTTGAAGGTCAATGTCACGGCCACACATGCATCACACAAGAGGAGTGCAATCGTACCCCTTGCTCCGCCTTTTTCTTCAGAAGTTGGTCCACCCGGTGACAGTCCTCAAACGGCGTCTGGCGCATGAGATAGACCTCACCTGGTGTCTCGACGTGGCTCTCTTCACGGTAAATAACTGGACAACAATTCCGACGAATAAAAAGGCCAATGCCCATAAAACGCCGACATACCGGTCAAGCGCCAATCGGTGATGAAGATCGTGTGCTTGGCGCCGAGGATGGCGTGGTACATGGCGGCAAACGCATCGCGTCCGTCGATGTACCACTTGCAATTGATCTGCTCGCGCACCGGCGAGTAGGCCGTGTGCAGGAATCCTTGTTTGAAAGAAAGCAGCTTACGGTCAGCTTTTTGATGGAAGAAAAAGAAGAAGAAGAAGGTAGAAGGTAGACGAAGACGCACCTCGGCACCCCCAAAATTGCATGACCGCGCCCCACTTCTGCAGTTCAGTGAGCCGACTATCCTCGGCCACGTCGGCTTTGGCCACCTCGTCGGGCACCGTAAACTCGCAGTCGATGAAGGCCTGCAGCGGACTCCACAGGCGGATGCTGTCCGTACCCTGAGCCTCGACCGAAGTACCCTCGAGCGTGATGACCTGATGCCAGTGGCCGATAGAGAAAAATAAATAAATATCTGGTGTGGGTCTCTGCACGGACAGCGAGTAAGAGAGACGTACCTCGAACGGCTCGGAAGCGGCCTCGTTCTCGTAGAGCACGAGGAAGCCGTCCATGGCCTTGGCGAACACGTTGCGCCATTTGCCCTTCTCCTTGCGCATGATGATGCCCTCCTTGTAGGGGATGGTGTTCTCCGCGGCTTGCGGGTTCTCCTCGGCGATCCGATCCTCCATGTCCTCGACCTCCTTCGTCTCGTCGGGGTGGTTGTAATTGAAGTTCTTTCTCCCTGCCACGGCCCTTGTCGCTCTGTCTGGGTTGTGAACTCTTCGCGGTCGACGTGAATCCCGTCCAAAATCCATTGAGCTTGCAGATCTTCCGCGTTCAGGTGAAAATTCGCACATCTAGGGAAATTTCGCTTCACACTGCCCCTGCAGTGGACATCCCTTGTTGCAACTTCAGAACACTTGCACTTTAGGAAAAAAGTCAAACTTCAGTTGAAACTAAAGTTTGGTTCCTGCATATGCAGTGAATCTCACATTATCTTGATCCTGTTGGCCTTGCTCATTTGAACTGAGAGGTGTTTTTTTGTGCTTTTGTTTGTGATTTTATCTTGATTAAATGACTGTATGCCTAATATCACTTTTGAAAAGAGAAAACCTAGAAAAAACAGCAAAAGAGGCCTCCCACCCAACAGTGAGAGCCACCTGAGATGAGGAAAGGAAGTGGTGTACACAAGACCAACATCAGGGATCCACCACCATTAGATTGGGTGATAACATGCCAAGAAAGAAGAAGCAAAAAGGGACGTTCTAGAAGAGGCCGGCAGCAGTGGTTGTGGACCATTATGGTGAGCGACAGTAAAAAGGATACGGCACGGTGGATTCCCGGGTGGTCGCCCACCCCAGTACTAACACCGCCTGGCGCAGCTTAACTTCGCTGTTCGGATGGGAAGCGGTGCTTTCTGCGCAGTATGGCCGTATCCGTCAGGCTGCAGCACTCTGCCTCCATCACATCCCCTTTCGTGTCTTCTCCACACAAGAAGCCGATGGTGCACTGCTGTTCATCTCACACTTCCCCTGGCCCACAGACGCCCACATCCAGACCCGCATGGATCCTCAGGCCTTTGACATACAGCTTCACGCTGGCCGTACCTGCGCTAAGTGCACACGTTTCCGTTTTGTCTGAGTTTGCGCAAGAGAAATGAAACCATTTTGGGATTGGGCGGAAAAAAAAGGCTCCACGGCTCTTTGTGTGTGCTGGCCAGGCAACAGCCATCGATTGAAAGCCCAATCTTTGCAGATGGATCCACCTCAGGAGGGTTACTTTTATGATCGGCTGAACCCTTCACGACAAACGAGAACCTACAGTGTACACAGCATCATCAAAATCATCAAGGGTCAAGACCAGGAGAAGGGAGATGAACTCGCTTCTCGTACCCACCCCCTCTCTCTCGCTTCCCAATTAACTTGTGACATTTTTTTTGGATCTTTGATTGCCAGCAAGAGCTCCTCCCTTCTCCTTCTCATTCTTGATCCAATGTAGTTCAAAAGTCGCTGTACGAGCTCAAGCGTGACATCGCGCTGCAGAGCAAACGCAATTTCACGCTCGAGAGGGACATTCGCAACCTCGATAAGAAGATCTCTCTTCTC